TTAAGTTTAGTACCCAAAGAAGATATCTCAGAGTAGTGCACCGAAGCTCCTGGTGTGCTGGTTAAGAAAACATTCGCCACTTCTGAGTTATTTACAGTATTAGAAATTGGAATTGATAGAGTAAATGTTGGTGATGGTAGGTACTGTTTTTGGAAGCAAAACAGTGGCTAATAGACAGCAGTGCTGAATTTTGGGAACAGCAGGTGACATGCTAATAGCAGCACTGCAGCCACTCAGCACAGCTGTATGCACAGCATTGCGCAGACTGTACGGTCTCAGATATCTGTCCTGAGCTGTGAGTGGGTTAACAAGGAATTCATGATAGCCAAAAGGAATGCTTACAAACCTAATGACAGTTTGGGAATGCAATCACCACGGTTTCTATTTCAGAAAGAAAATGTAACATGCTTTTGTGGCTATGCTCTGAACTCGTTGATTGCCATGGCAAACATATGCTGTGATTACAAAACAGACATCTTTTGGAATTAATAGTCACTTGGATGTGCTGTAAATAGCCAGTGCTCACATAGATACTCTAAAATATGTCCTGTAAGAGTTTCAGATCCTGCTGCTCAGCTGCATCACCTCCTCCAGGAAACACCTGCTGAGCTCTGCTTGGGTTTGGGAGGGAGATACAAACCCAATGGGAAACCAGGTGTGCCAGGGGTGAGCAAAGAAAGGGCACTTTGGGGCTAGATAGATCTGACTCAGTCTGCTATTAATACATTTTAGCTTTACTTAATGTGTTACATTGCAGCACGCAAAGCAATGAAGAATGGGAAAAGCCCGGTTATTATTGATAATACCAACATCCATGCTTGGGAAATGAAGCCATATGTGATGATGGTAGGGAAAACTATGATTTATTGCTTTTATATGCTTAACTGTGATATTTAGGGGGTGATCTAACTGAAAAAGTTCTTAACAAGGCTGAAAATAATTACTTCCCTTTTCCCTCATTCCACTAATTATAGTTAATAATTTATATTGTGGAGACAGGGGAAAAGGTGTGTAGGTACTTATTTTATCTAGTCAGCTACGTACCTCAGTGAAGGCATAATTACTGAAAAGATTAGAGAGTCTTCAAACTTGCCCTGTAACTTCTTGGCAGTCAGAATGTCAACAGTGACATGGATACAATGGTTTCCAAACTGTTGAATTTGCAACTGGCTGAACGTAAGAGTTAACATGTATATCAAGGTGACTTAGAATTTTAGTTTAAGACTTGTGAAAAATACAACAGGAAGAATCTTTGATGGTCCATTGATATCTGTTTGCAGTAGTTCTGGCAGTATTCTTAGTACTGTTTCATAATACAGCCTGATAACATTACATTCATGCTTGTGCACAGCTATACACTCTTTCGTTATGATTCTGTGATTTAAGAGGTTCAAGGCTGACTATTGCTCTTATAGGAGCTCAAAAGAGGCAAGAATGCATAGCGCTGCTGGAAACCCTGGGCGTGTGCTCCTGTAGCACAAGCTGTGACTGCCTATGGGTGACTGTGAAATGAGAGACCTCAGGTAGAAGGGAACAAGATGTAGAAAGACCAGCAGGTGCCCTTGCCTTCTTTCTGCTACTATGTAATGTCCTTAGGAGGCAATGCTTATCCCCTTCAAACTAAAAGCAATCAATCTTGCCCAAGGAGGCTGTGGATGCCCCATCCCTGGAGGCATTCAAGGCCAGGCTGGATGTGGCTCTGGGCAGCCTGGTCTGGTGGTTGGTGACCCTGCACATAGCAGGAGGATTGAAATTAGATGATCACTGAGGTCCTTTTCAACCCAGGCCGTTCTATGATTCTGTGAATAACTGTATTAACTGTATATATGTATATACATGTGTGTGTGTGTGTGTGTGCTTTACCACCAAAAAAAAAATAAAATAAAAATTGAGTGTTGTATCTTGAGCATCTGGAAATAGTGTGACACTCCCAGAAGCTCCAACATTTAAGTCTTGAAGCACCTGTGACTGCCAGAGCCAGGGCACTGTGAGGAGTGGGATGCTGGCAGCCACTGCTGAGGCTGAGACAAGTTTTGCTGGGAGACCCAAATCCTTTGGGTAAGGAGGAACAGATGAGCTGGGAGTCAGACAAACATCTTGGTGGGATCTGTGGCTCTCTTCTTTCTGCCTCATGGGGATATATGAGACATCTCTTGACTAGATGAAAAATCTCAAGGGTGTGGAAGATTGGCTACTGCTGAGCTTGGCAGCCATAAATCTAAAACTTCTGTGTACTTCCTCAGGCACGTGAATATAGCTATGAAGTTATATTCCGAGAACCAGATACGCCCTGGAAGTTCAATGTTCGAGAACTGACGAGGTACATTTTTTCCCTTTGCTACAGCAGGCTGCTTCTCACTTCTGTGCTCTGAGGAAGGCCAGCACTCTTTCTCTTCATGCGCCCTAAAACGTAACCCGGTAAATAGAAACAGCAGGGTTGTTGTGCAAAATTTACAGTAGTAAATTATGCTCTTTGCAGCTACATGGTAAAAAGGTGGCTCTTCAGAGTTTGCAGACAGCAGATGTCCCTGGCAGGCTTTGCAAAGACTGTTTCTGGTCCATCCTGACAACCCTGCATGTCTGAGCTGCTCCTCTCCTTCTGAGACTTCATTTATAAATCTGCCCTGGCATCACCATGGGTAGCCTCTCCACCATAAGCAGTACATTTCACAATATTTCTCTTGCCAGTCCCTTACTTTTCTCTTGCTTGCTATGGAGCAGCCAGCAGCACTGCCTCCCCATCACTTCTGAGCCACAACAGGTAGGACTTCTCTAGGACATGCACCCAGATAAGGCAACAACAGCTACAAGTCAGCATCTGGGCTCTCTCTCTAGATGTGTGAAAGTTCACCCCAAGGCTAGAAAGCTGTTGGCAATAAACCCTAGCAACATTCACATAAAATAACATACAGGTCTTCACCTAACTCTTACTGGGCCATGTTTCAAAGCATTTGTCTATATTCTTATGTCTTGGCTGCCCACAGAAATACTTAGGCTACATTTTTTCAGCAGTCTTTAAAATACCATTGAGAAGTAGGTAGCAGTGAATTACAGTTTAGCAAAAATAAAACAGAATGAAGTAAAAACATAGAAATAGGTCATCAAGCAGAAGAACCAATGGCCTGAACATAGCAGGAACCACAGCAAGTTTAAGATAACTTGTAATGCATTCTTTGTTCATGTTGACTCTACAGAAAAAATATCCATGATGTCCCTCGACAAAAGATACAACAGATGAAAGAACAGTATGAGCATTATGTTACCTTCCACAGTGTTCTTCACTCTGAAAAACCAAGCAGAGAAGACCAAAGCTCCCCTGGACCAAACGCAGCCTATGGCCTGGGTGCCTGTGCCAACCCCCCTGCAGCCTTCTCAAGCAGAAGACCTCGCATGGCACGGACAAACAACCCAGTGTTTTACTGAAGAGGTGCATTCCTCTGTGTGCTCTGATTATCAGGGTATAACAGTCTCTAGTTTTACATTTTTTTTTCTAAACTATTTTATTCTTCTATTTTTCTACTACTTTTCTAAATGAGACTTTTATATCTGAAGTCATTGTCACTCCAATCGGAGTGATCCAAAACCACTGTCCCTTGCACAGACTGTACAATCTTATCTCTTCCTCTGCTGAAATCCATTCATGCTCATGGTGAAATGTGTTACTGGCTGAGCCTCACATTTGTTTTTCCTTCATTGCTCTTTCACTTGCAGATAACACCAAACATTCCTAGATTCTTACAGACTGTGTGGCCAATTCCTTTCCTGTGTAGTGGTCACCTCCTGCTATTTTACTACTCTATGATTTTATGCATCTTCCCACTCCTTGTCTGGAGCATTGCTTCTAGCTTTAAGAGAGGTGCAAGCACTAAGATACTGCAGCAAGATTTGATCTTCTTCATCTATACATCTGCTGCCCTGAGTTGTACTATTCTTACCTTAGCTCTAATGCACCCAAACAGCATCTCCAGCATCAAGGAGAAAAACTTCAACACACCAAACTGTGCCTTTAATCTTGCAAAGACTGCCAGAGGAAGCAATCCTGAAGGGAACACGAGCATTAGGTGAGCACTCATTAACTTTGAGAAGGAATGGCAATACAGAAACAGCTGTAGCACAAGGCTACCAAGTATCTGACCTTAGAAGTACAAACTGTATTGCACAAAGTAACAAGAAAGGGCGGGGAGGGAGAGTGGAAGGGAAAAAGGAGAAATTAATTCCTTCCACTATGAAGTGGCTGAATGAGGAGAAGCAGGCATCCTGCAGGAGCTTTATCTATTTTTAAACCCTACACATATGTGCTTATCAAGAAGCCTCACGAAATGAGATGCTAAAACTCAGCATTAGTGATGGTAGTTTTTTTACAGTAGGTACTGAACATCTGACAGCAGTAATAGAGCAGGATGGTAGCAAGCAAGCTGCTTTGCAGTAGGAAATGAAGGCAGCTCACCCTGGACAGTAGGAAACATGGGGGTAGCTATGATTCATCTAGCAGTTCATGGTCAGAGAAGTGTAAGGTGTAAAGGTACACACTATGCCTGTGTAAGAGTGAGGCTGCCTGTAGGACTCCATATCTATTACTAATACCTTTGTATGTCATTCTGCTGTGAATCAAACTTTCATCATTATGGCTGCTTTCTAAAACCTTTTTAAGAACTATATAGAAAGTTTTAAGGAAGAAGGTACAGAATTACGCCAGAATTGCAGAGGAATATTTCAGAATAAAACTACTGTAATTGGTTACAATAAACTTGGAGAATTGTTAATTTTGCCCTGTGTTACTGCTGACAGCCAAACAACCACTCTAATGCTACTGAGGATAAGAAAACTGCTCAAGACTGAAACAAAGGCACTACTGTAATTTAAAAATAAGTTAGAATCAAAGTAATGGGTTATAAAACCTTCAGCCACAGCAATGCTATTGTATACCACATGTTTGTGCCAGAAATGTACAATTATTCAACTCCAAATTATTTGCTTTGCAGATGAAATGCCATTTCATGTATTTTGTAATGTAACTTTATTACAATCAGGTTTTAATGTACAAAGTAAAAACATTTAAGTTTGAAATATACACAGTACTGTACATGTGCACCTAGTAGCACTTGCGGGATTTGCGCCTTTGCAGCACTCTGCGGATTGCTAACGAACCCCCACATTCCTCTGTGTCCTTCTGGAGAGCATCAGCTCCTTCTGAGCTGCTTTTCAATGAACTGTTTGCTTCCTTAGCAGATCCGGAACTATTTTTGGATGAAAGATCACCAGATAAGTTAGTAGCCTTCGTGTCACCAGATAAATTAGTAGCCTTTGTACTGTCTTCATTCACATAATCCACCTTCTTTTCTTCTGGTACAGTATTTATGAGTGCTTGTGTGTTAATCATTGCAAGTTCTTCATCAGCAACCAGGTCGTTATCAGAAAGCTGGATGGCTTCTCTCACTTTTCTACTGGGGGTGACACAACCAGCATTTGGGTTTGTTTCTTTTGATAACTTGCTGTACTGTGAGCCCAAACTTCGCGGAGGCCGAAAGGCCTTTTTTACAGATGGAGAAATGATGGAACAGATGGGTGTCAGTGATGGAGGGGCAGGTATGCAGCTAAGGAAGTCCATTGCTTTTCTCTTTTTGCTGTTTCTGGGATGGTTCTCATTACTTACAGCAGATGAAGGCGTTACTGCTGAGCCTTGTAGGAAAAGCTTTGTATTTGGTGTGCTAGCTGACAAGGGGCTCGGATGCTTCATTTCAATTTTGGAAGAGATCTAGATAAAAAGAGAGAAGTTTTATGTTGAATAAGAAACCCATTATCTTCCTCAATTACTTCCACACAACAGGGAAGAAATGAATACAAAAAATGCTGTATAATTCATATCCAGGTTACCTTTGGTTTGATAACTTCTGAGAGTGACCAATGTTTTTTTTCAACTATTGATAGCTGATGAGTTCATTTACATGCACACTAAGACAACACATTTGCACTGTGTGCGAGATCAAAGCTAAATGGAGAGGAATTTTGCTGTGCCAGATGGTTAAGAATTCAAAGTGGTCACTATAAAATTGAGTTAACTGAGTCTTCTGCACTGGAAGTACCCTCTATGGTTATTAAATAGGGAAGAGTGAAGAAAAAAGTTTGAAGGAAAAAGGGAGAGAACACAGACCAAAAATCATGAAGATAATAGCACACACACACAGGATAGCTACTACACAGCAAATCATTTAAACACGTGCATAACTTAAAAACATCTTTAATGCTCATTTGTTTCGATTTGGCCAATGTATTTAACAAATTGATGTATACACTAAAGCTTCAGCATCAAATATTAGTACTTTCTCTGAACTGGAAAGGGATGCCTTACAGACTTTAGTCCTCATTTATCGACCTTTTATCACTGTGTTTCCACCTCCCTAACAACCAGTGGGAGGAAATATTTTTATTCTGACTGCACTCAGTACTGCACATGAGGAACAACCTGTCTCCATCAACTTTAAAGTAGTATTTTACTCAGTTTTTGGTAGTGCTGCTGTAAAATGCAAGCATTTGCAAGGTGATACATCTTCCCTCTCAAATCTGTGAAATACCTACATCTATAGAAATATCTAGAAGAAAAGATATGGAAGTTCTCTAAACAAGGGCACACATGGAAGAAACATCTACAGATCAAGAATTGTCCTCAGAGTGACGTCTGTCATAGAATCACAGAATCACTGAGGTTGAAAAAGACCTCTATGATCATCCATTCCAATTGTCCACTACCACCAATATTTCCCACTAAACCATGTCCATCAGTACAGCATCTAAATGTTTCTTGAACACCTCCACAGATGGTGACTCCACCACCTCCCTGGGCAGCCCATTCCAGTGCCTGACCACTCGCTTGGAGATGTGTCAGATAATCTTCACTAAAGGACTGAGGAAGTAATAAACCCATCCACAGGGAAAGGAGGATTCATTTTCCTCATGTAAAATTCAGAATATTTAAAGCATGCTGTTGAAACACAGGCCATGAAGGGTATTTTCCATATACTGCCTGTAGGAAGACTAGTCTAGGGAATTCTTTGAGTAACAATCCTAACCCACACAAGGGTTTCATTGCATCTGATCTGCTTGCATTGCTCTGAAGAGACCTTGTGGGGCAGACTGAGAGTAGAGACCATCAGTTAAAAAAACCTGCTTATATCCTTACTGTATGTCATATTAGTATAAAACCAAGACTAATTACGAGTAACTTACCAAACTTTTATCCTCTGCATAAAGGCCTGAGTTGCAGGAAGGAGAAAAGCATTCCAAACCACGTCTTTTAGGTAAAATGGGTGTAAGTGAACAATTCCTTTGTAGCAAATTCATCAATTTCCTTTCTGCATCAGAGCAAAAGGAGTCCACATTCTATAAAGCAGAACATATTACAGTGCATAACAGCTGTTTCTAAAATTATCTAAGTATTCCATGCTCACATACTAAATAGTCAGGCTTTGTTTTCTTGCTATACTCCCACCAGAAGTTTATTGTATATCCAATCAACAACTTAAAAGTCTGCTGCACTTTCCATGGAAGAAAATACACCTTCCTTTTACTGTTTACAAGAAAAATATGTATGTAAAATTTTTTGTGCAGTAAAGTGAGAATGCGCGACCAAGATGTTCTATTTAGCATAGCTAAATTTGAAATTAAGAGTAAGGAAATAAAACCAGCAGTTCTTTGGTTGATACTGAATGCGTTCAACTAAGCAAGACAGTAAATTTGAACTGTAAAAGAGTCCAGCAGTCCATGACAGGTTCCTTGTGGACAAGTGAAATGGGTTTGCCAGCCAGAGAAGATTCTGCAGCACATGCTTAAGTGGTGTTGAGCTGGGGGGGGAGGCAGGGGGAATGAAACCAGTTAAGATATCCAATAGGTGATATAGAGAGTCTCTAGGCAAAGCGCATTAACATTTCACTCCTTCTCCAACAAAATCCCCCCTAATTCAACACTATGTGCACTACTTAAGTTTTATTAGTACTGACAGACTTCTTGGTGACAAACATAACACTGCAATAGCTAGAATTAATCATTCAACTAAAAATCTGAAGGTTTACCTCTATCATCCTTCGCAGTTCATTAAACTTCTCTTGAAGATGGTTTTCCTTTGGACTGGCTGAGAATGCAGAAAGATCTCCAGCCAATAGCACAGGAATTTCTGATCTGAATTCAGACTGCCACTGAAGGTTGCTTGCAGCAATGAATGAACAGCGGACAACGATATCTTCAATAGCAAAGTGCTTGAGGTCTGCCCAGATTTTTATTGCCACAAGATTATAGCTTTCATCAGATAAATAAATCATGTTAGGGAATCCTGAAAGTAAGAAAAAAATAGAATTAAATTCTTTCTGAGCAAATAATGAAGACATTTTTTTTAGGAAAACAATTACCTGCCTGCATATTAGGGTAATGGGTTATCTTATCTGGTTTTTAACAGAATTGAGATGCAGGTGTAACACCAAGATAATTTTGATTATTTCAATAAAAAAATCTAGTGCTTATTCAGTGACAACATATTTGGTCCACAACATACCTGTTCTGCTAATGGATATTACAACTCCAACTACATCAACTTCAGCACACGGTGGCTGATAAGAAGGATCCAACAAGCTGGTGAATTTTAGAGCCTTTCTTGGAAAGAAAATCTGCAGCAGCATCTTCTGTGAGACCTGAAATAAAACCTCATACTTTTATACAGACTGCGATGCTTCTTGATGATACATCTTTACGCAGGTAAAGCACTTACTGATAGTTGTAGATACTGAGTTTTCTTTGTTGCTGATAACTGTATGTTAGTTGAGTCTGATCTTCCTTTGGACTGTGATGTTGACAGCTGGTAGATTCTGTACCGACTGCCTTCCTTCAGCAGTGAACACACATCTAGCAGTGGACGCCAGATACTCAGGATCACTCCTAATAATGTCAGATTAGGATTTAGGTGTGCAATATTAACATAAAGGTTTTTAAACAAAACTGGAAACTGCAACATGCAAGCTAGAACACTTGAAGTTTCAAGTCTGCCTGTTATATTGTCCAGTTACCCTGTACAGACAAATTATAAATAAAACTTATTTATAATTTTCCAAGTACTAACCTCTATGTTTTTCTTGCTTTCTATAGTCTACCACGAATAATTTCCATACAGTAGACACATCCCTTTTGGAACAACCATGTTTTTCCTGTTCTGCAGACTCTACAGCCTTCTTGAATTCCTCCTGTATCCTAGTTTGTTTTTTATCATTCATCAGCTGCTTGTGAGCATTCAGAGCTTTTAACTGATCTTCACTGAGATATCCCTGTAACCAAGAGAAAATGCATTTAGTATCTTTTTTTTTTTTAATACAAAAAAATCCAACTGATATACTACTAGGCCTTTAAATGCTGTATTGTTAACACAACTGGGGTCACCAATCGTTAACACAACTGGGGTCACCAATCTTGGCTGGTGCTCAGTTGTCTTTGCATTACATTATATGCTATTGTTGTGGTAATTAGTGAGAAGCTTGCTTAAAACACAGAAGTGAATTATGTCATACAACAGGCACGTCTGCCTGCTTAATAATAAATAAAATATCTTGCAAAGAAGTTTTGTAAGAAGAAGAGTCACACCTCCCAGCAGGCTGCTATCTCTGAGCTAACACAGTGAACTTATGCTGAAATCATTTGGAGTGTTACTGTTCTGAGCAACCATCCAAGATCCAGGTACCATCACCACAGGTATGCAAAACATTTTATCAAATTAAGTCACAGCTTTATATAATGGCTTCATGACAGTTAAGGACCTTGACATGCAGAAGTATGCATTTAATTTTTAACAGCTAGTAAGGACTACACACCTACATCTAATTAATAAAGGTATAAAAAACATGTGATTGTCCTTTTTTTTAACATATCAAGAGAAAACAGCTTCTTTTCCAATCTAAGACATTATTCATCTATTTTAACTAGACTTCATTAAAATATTTTTCAAATTTTTAACTACGTCTTCATTTACTTACTAATAAGCATACTGTATAAAATTTCAGAAGGTGACAAAAAGAAATAGTAATTTAGTGGTTGACTTTAGCAGGAGGTACTACTATATACGAAATGATTCCACAAGTATTTCACAATTAGCCAGGTATGCTGTATAGTTACCTCCATATAACTGGGATCAGGTGCATTCTGAATTGCTTCATAAAGTTCTGCACCATCTTGCAAATTATGGATTTGCTGCCTTGTGACTATGTGCGATCTTGGTGTTCTTTTGCAATTTCTCTCTGTTGAAAAAAATCTGTTAGATGAGTACAACAACCAGTATACTTCAAAAGCAAAGGAAAATTATGTAGGAAGCATGATAGTATGTAGGCATTGCTAGAATAAAATCACAAAATGCTTTCATATAGGGACAGATAGATTGACTGACTTTGAGCAACCTGATCTGGAGGGAAGTGCCCCTGCCTCAGCAGAGGGGGTGGAACTAGATGATCTTAGAGGTCTCTTTCAACCCAAACCACTATGATTCTATGATTCTGTATCAGGGACACCAGCTAAAAGCCAAGTTATCTTCTTTATATTACTGTCTTCATTAAGCCATCTTTTATGATTCATCTTTGATGATTTCCTTCAGTACAGGAGACTCATAGAATCATAGAATTGTGTGATCTAAATCTAGTGTGGCCTCACTAGTTCTGAGTAACAGGGAGGATCACATCCATTGGCCAGCACTCCTCTGTTAGCCTTTATTTGCCACTAGAGCACACTGCTGGCTCATGTTCAACTTGATGTCTGCCAGGACCCCAGGGCCTTTTATGCAGATCTAGTGAAGGCACACTCTGTCCCATCATCTAGATAACAATAAAGATGTTAAATTGGACTGAACCCAGTGTTGACCCCTGGGGTCAACCACTACATGACTAGTTAAATGGCCTCCAACTAGACCTCGTGTCACTCATCACTGCTCTCTGGGTCTGGCTACTACTCATTGTCTGCTAATGATTCTTCAGTTTCTCTAGGAGTTTTTTTTAACAGAAATAGCGTCAAAAGCCTTCTTGAAATCAAGGCAGACAATACCTATTGCTCCCTGCTTCTCTACGAGTAAAGCCAGTCATTTCATCATAGAAGGTTATCAGGTGATCAGTCATGACTACCTACTGGTGAATCCCTGCTGATTATTCCCAATTGCTTTCTTGCCCTTCATGTGGCTGGAAGTGGTTTTCAAGATCAGTTCTTCCAAAACCTCAGGGATCACGGTCAGGTTGACTGGCATGCAGTTAGTTGTCTGAGTACTCCTTTCCATCCTTTTTAAAGGCTGGAGACACAACTGCTTTCTTCCAGCCTTCAGACACCTCTCCCAATCACCACAGTAACATCAGTCAGCTCTCCGAGCACTCGTGTGCATTCCACAGGGGCCTAAGGACCCTTGGGCTAGTATTCTCTAACCAAACCTCTTTCACCAAAGGTACATCTTCCTTGCTCCAAATCTCCCCTGGCCTCCATAGTGCGGAGTTCCTTAAGGCTCGTCTTGCTAAGTAAGACTGAAGCAATAAAGGCATTTATACCTCAAGCTTTTTCATGCCCTGTTTCACCAGGTCATCTGTCCCATTTACTAACTCCACTGACCTCAGTATCTCTCCACAGACCCACAGTGTTTGTGAGAAGAATTGCTCAGTGCTCAGTCTTGGTGTTCAGCCAACTGAGATACATCCCTAGTAGAACCTATCTTTAGGCAAAACATTAACACTGTTGGCTTTTTGAAGAAAGCAGAGTTATGAATTCTACAATCCTGTACCATTTTTGAAATATTATCTCAATGGTAATTTTTTTTAGTAACTTGGTGACCAATAAGTTCACAAAAAGTCTCCTAGGTAGTTGCAAGGTCAGGAAAAAAACATGTAACTGGCAGTGTAAGACATAGGAAGTATAAAAAAAACAACAAACCATGCAGCACACAGACAACCTCTGCAGAAACCAAATCCCAACCACCATTTCTCTATCACCAGAGCTTTTTGTAATTTTCTTGAAACTCATCTGCAAACATCCAAAATGTCTATGTGTTCTTAATATATATTCTGAAATAACAAGTGCTTTACCTTCATGCTTTTCAAATTCTGCTTGAATTTTTGCAAACAGAGCTTCCAGCTTCTTTTGCTGATCCTCTGCATGCTTGGCAGCTTCCCTTTCTTCAGCTCGGCTGTTACGAAATACGTATGAGCCAGCTGATGTCTTTTCCATCCACTGAAATACAAAATTAAAAACTTTTTTTTTTTTTTTTTTTTAATTTTTAACCTAATTTAGGTTTTTTTCAATACTCACCGTTAAGCAAAAAGGCTTTTAAAAGTGAACAAGTTCTTTTAGTACAACAAATAGAAAACAAAAAAACCAATAGCATTGGCTGGTAAATCTCTTAAAGTTATATAGACTGAACTGAGTTGTTGTAGTCAAACTTGTGATTTAACAGCTGAAGAAACCATAGATTATAATAATAGGCATCAGTTATGCAATTTAGAAGATAGCTGAATTCAACTTGTATATTTTTTGAGCTCTGCGTTTGCTTTATATCTAAACATATCTACAAGAACTGCATTTTACTTGATTTGTCTTTCATCATTGACTGTACTGCTTCAGCATGCTAGATTAGATGCATTAATGCCTTTGGTGCATGGTTTGAGGAGACAGGCGAGCCAAACACAGGAGGTCACTGCTGGTGAAAATGGTCTTCCTCTTTGCTTTTCCTCTCCCTTGCACTGCCTCTAGTCCTCATCTGTCTACCAGATCACATTAGTTTGCTAATTAAACAGCTGTTTGAGGGTGATTTTTTTTTTTTTTTGTGGGGCTGGTTTTTTTTGTTTTTGTCTTCTTACTCCAGGTTTTGCAAACTAAATCAGCTATGGGACAGCAGCAGGTCAGCTCCAGGCCAGAGAGAAGCAGCAAGACAGTATAGTAAGAGTAGGATAAGGGAGGCTGAAGGACTGATCATTATGAGACAGTGAACTAATGAAATAGGCTCTGTGCTTCGTTAACTGCATGCCTAATACTTTGTGCACTATTTAGTCTGACAGCTTTAAGTACAGTTTTTGTGTCGAGGGGAGTAGCAGTCACAAGTCAAAGGGAGACAGATAGCCCAAATCTTCCTATAATTTGGTATGACTGAGCAAGATTCTCAGTGTTTTAAAAGAAATCTGTATCAGCTTGTCAATCTCTGGAGACAGTGAGAAACAAAGCCCCACTTTCCTCCCCAGACTGGAAGCCATTAGCTGTGATGGTGTTAGAGATTACAGCTGCCTTTCCAGGACCAAAATAAATGTTAGTTCTACCAGAAGATCATCCATGTAAGTGTTGCAATTCCCTCCATATAAATAATAATCTAAGTATCAAGGTAATGATTCAAGCCAAATATTGCTTTATCCTTTATATTATCCTTCGTGGACTTCATTCTACATCAATCAGTAGGGATAGAACATTTCAGAAAGCAAATAACATATCTGTATCATTCTCTGAGAAAAGATAACAAAATCTGCAAGCTGTATCTCAGCTAACCTGGTAACATTAAGAGGACTACTTACCATGAAAAATACAGGTTTTTTTGCAGTTGGGACTATTATAAAAAGCAAGTACTTACCAACTGCTATCCACACAAACTCTAAATATGGTCAGGTTGTACCTAAAACATATTCACTCTATTTTATACAATAATTCCACTGTAATATCAGTAGTATTTCAAACAATAGATCTTACTCAATATAACTAGCTACATTTAAAAAAGAATTTATCTTACTAATGGTTATACAACATTTAACTTCGTTGCAGAGATATGTACATTAGTAAGAGAAAAAAAAACATTTCACATTTCTACTCAGAGCTGAAACCCTTCATGTGTTTTCCTCCTCTAAAACAAACTCTGCCTTTTAGATTACACAAATAAAATTCAGTAATTTCTTGCTCTTTGAAGCTGAACCAGAAGACACTGAGTGACCAGGATACACCACTTGTGAAAAATTAAAAACATTCACACTGCAAAAGTCAATTCTTCTCCAGTCACACATGATACTATTTCTTAAACTTTTTTGTCTGTCCACATTATGTCACATTTGAGGAATGATAAAGCAACCAGCCATTAGATAACAAATCAAATGGAACCTGTCAGACTCATAAAATACTTGTACCATACCTGAATAGGATAAGTTCTTTGGATAACCACATCAATGCAGCCCACTGCACCACCCTCACTGTAAAGCGATGACAGAGGCAGAGGAAAAGGCCTGGGGTCCCGATGAAATCCCAGCTTTGTGTACCACCGTGCGCACCGCGTGCTGTTGGCTGCAATCTGAACACGTTAAATGCTGAATGATGAACTGGCATGGATGGGTCAAAAGGAACTCCAACTTATGACGTTTAAATTAATGACTATTTTTACACTGACCTCTCTCATTTTTGCATCTGAACATACTGGATTTTAATTTCAGGGCTTTTTGCATTGGAAAACTAATTCTAAACAAGTACTAAAAATCTCAGGAGTTCTAATTATCTAGGAAACGAGCACCACTGAGATATGCCATTGTCTTATACAAGAGGAGAAGCATTTTTATGCTGCAACTTCACAAAGCACTTTGATGACCCTCAAACAAGTGAAGTCCTCCCTACCCAAGCCCATCCTCCCACAAAATGTTTTCACTCCCTCAACCTTCCACATTATTTATGATGGTTAAATATTTTCCTCATCCTAATGCTTAACCATGCTAGGAAGCTGAAACTGACAAAACATGCAACAAAATTGAACAGCATCTTATATTACTTAAAAAAAAAAAAAAGTACTTGTGTACTACTGATTTGATACTGTTAACTTCTCTTCCAACTCTACTGACTAGTATGCATTAACTACCTTGTGTCTTCCAAACTGGGTTATTAAAATCCAGACAAAAGCTTTTATGTTTACAAAAGCCCATCCAGTTTACAGCATGGCTCAAGTAAATAGCATATGACATCTTTCAGGCATATCCAATCAAGCTGAAACTATTATTTTGGTTTACCTTTAGCATAAGGGAATCTGGGGCTTCCAGTGGCGTACATCCATTTGGAGAGCCAGTAAGTTCTGCTCCATGCACTATGATCTTCTGACCAACAGTCAGCCTTCTTCTATGTAAGAAAGCTTTGAGAGGTGGATCCAGAAGAGCTCTAATCCCATACCAGCCATCAGTAACTTCAATTATTGCTGCTGCTTTTTCACATTCCGTATTGTTATTACTATTACTAGGAGATACAGCGGAGTTTAGTGATAGGATTTTAGAAATACACAGCACAAGTGTTTTACCTGCTGCATCATCTCTCTCTGTTATTTTTTTGATTGCTGATCTTTTACTTTTATCGATTTCCAAGTCATACCTACAAAAAATGGATCCGTTACACTAATTTGTAGGAAACAAAATCCATCATGTCGTTTTCCCATGAAATGAATTGTTGCAAATTATTATTTAATCCACGTGATTAAACGCCATTGAAAAAAAATTGAATTTATCTAAACATTCTCAGAGAACATGCACTATTACTTCTAATACTGACATATATAAATTCAACAATTCCAACATTCTGATAAATACTAAATGCAACATAGAGACTATAAAATATCATGAGCTACAAAGCACACAATCTCGAAGTTACAACTCCAGATATGTTTCTACACACTTACCTATATTTCAACTGCAACAGCACTGTTTCTGGCGTCAAACATCTGTTAGCAAATTTGTGTGGAAAAGACACTTCCATGGCTGCCAGTTTCCATACAATCCACCTATAATGATTGTAAACCCAGGCCCCTGTTATTAGCTTGGGATCCACACCGGGAGTATCACAGAGAGCCCTGCAGATAAACAGTTAACAAAGTAATCTGAAATCCATTGTCAGTTTTGCCTATTTTTCGCTAGGATTGCATTCAGCATACGCACACAGGTAGCATTAACAAAGGAATGTTTATTACAGAGTAAACAAGGTTACATTCCATAGCTTGGTGTGGTTATTGTCTAAATACTGTTTTGCCCTTATAAGCTTTGGCAGCATGCATGTATACATGTATATACACGCATGCCTTCTTGAAACAGACCCTGGAGCCTAGCAATAGCTCAGGGGCAGGCCTTCTCTCCTTCCTGCAGTTATGCTCATAGCACAGAAAGACAGAAGTGTACTCTACTCTCTTTCAGCCCTGGAATGTCCCCTGCTTGTTTCACTGCATCCCCAACAACACATCTCACTGCTACTAAAGTATTTCCTTCTCTCCGTTGTGCGACGGCTTAAGCAGAGCTTTATATGGTATTGACTTCAAGCTGTACTGCCATGAACTGTACTAGTTGGCTTGGAAAACTGTTTTCCAACTCTGCCAGTCACTAGGAAGTTCATTTCACTGAAGGAGAAGGAGTTAGACAAGCGATTCAAATAAGCCATTAAACTGATCAGAACAGTCTAACTAAAAAATGACTTCTAACCTGGCAGAAAGGCTCAAGATTTTACGGAATGGTATTGTGATTGGATGAGGAAAAGAAGCAATTTAATAGGTGAATACACAGGAAGTTAAGGAGTAGGTATGACCATCAAATTAATTATCATGTTGGAAGAGAGATGGGCAGTCTTAAGCTTTAGGAGATACCCTGATCTTCTATAAAGAATGATGCAATTCAGGAATTGAAGACAGAATTCAGCCCAAGATTAAGATTCTAAATACTTATGACTAAATAAAGGCACGTGGAAGTTGATGGAGATCCAGTTAATATATTAAAAAGAATAAAGAGACTGATTCAGCTGACCAACCAGTGAATATTTATTCTCAACTATATGTTTTAACATACAGCAAACCCAGAAAAGATACAGGAACTGAAAGCAGTGCTTGTGGAACAGCCTCTACTAATTGTTTGCTCCAGGGTCAGATCTATACTGATACCCAGAGCAGGTTCTACATCAAAAATGCCTTAGCCGTTCTGCAGTAAGTGGTACGTTGGTGGTTTCTCTTTTCTATTTCTGAAAAAGGAATGTGGGGAAAGCCTTATATTAGATGGATTAGATGGCCTGAGCACAGAATCAGGAGCACCTGTGGAAAGGATAAAGACAAGCTTCCCCTGGAACAAGAAGTTGGACTGCTTAAAGTTTTAGAGTATCTAATAATAACTTGTTTTGTGCAAATGCTTTAATATCTTTCCCATTCATAAGAAAACAGTGTAAAAATAATCAAGATTACCTCCACCATGACCAAGCATTGATTGCAAGAACAGTAAGCCAGAGCTGGGTGCATTGCTCCCAGAGTTCTACTGCTTCTTGACAAAAACAAAATCTCACATCTCCTATTTATATTCACAGTGGTGTTGCTTGTTAGCCTAAAAATAGCAATTTTCACATGAGAAAAGAACAACCAGAGTGCTTTCTAAAATGCATACAACTCCAGAGCATTTGTGTGTAGGTGAGGAGTCCTGCACTAACTGCACAGAGACAACCATCTCAGCCACTCTTTTATCCATCTAGTATAAATGCTTTGGCATATACCTAGCAGGGTATGTCCACCAAACATTCAACACTCATGTCACCGTTGGGGAGAAAATGCCAAATTTGGGACTGCACTGCTGGTATCAGAACACTTGCCAAAGGAGGAGGAACCACAAGCAACAAGTTAGGCCAAGTTCTGCATATTCTGCCTCCAAGTGACTACTTCAGTGTGTATAGCTAGCTACATGCTGCACAGCTGACAATGGAACAGCAAGGCCACGGCGATGCCACAGGATGAAAAATGGAACTGTAGGTAGATTATCTTTGCCTTATGGCATTTGAAATAACCACAATATGCTTTAAGGACTAAAACTCTAGAACTTGCAGTGCTGATATTAATAAAGGGACCAAAGTTTTTCAGTGCTTTCACTAATAATCCAGATGATGCAGCAAGTTTGCAGATGACTCTGCATTTGGGGGAAGTGATTGATAAGTTGGAGGGCAATGCAGGGAGCTGCTATTTAAAGGGACTAGGATAAGCTGGAGAAACAGATTCATGGAGATTTCATGAAATTCAACAAGAGCAAAGTCTTGCATCAGCAGGGGAATAACTCCACACAACACTAACAGATCAATCCTGACTGACAGCTTTGCGGAAAAAGATCCAGGGTCCTGGTGAACCACATGATGACTTGGAGGCAGCAGGTGTCCCTGCAGCAAAGAAATGTGGCCATGTTCTGGACTATTAAAAGTACTGAATGAAGTACTGCATCCAGTTTTGGGTTCACCTGGACAAAGATGCTGGGATACTGGAGGAGCAAATCCTGCAGAGGGCCACCAAGACTGGAACCCTTGTACTCTCAGAGGCTGAGCATGTGACACACAAGGAAAGGCTAGGGAAGTTGGGTTTGGATTTAAGAGAGAAGTTAAAGACTTTGTTGCTGCCTGTAACTGTGTGATTAGAGAATTCACAGAAGGCAGGCATGGACTCTTCTCAGAAGCACATGACAACAGGATGAGAGGCAACAGATAAGTTGGAAGATGCAAAATTCCAATTGGTGATAAAAGACTTTTTAAAAAATATGAGTATCAGCTGGCGTGGGCGATCCAGAGAGGCCATCACTGAAGGTATTCAAGACTTGGTCAGTCAAGTCCCTGATTAATTTGTCTAATTGAAGAGGCTACATCAGTCTACACAGTAAATTTACAAACCTACAATACCTTCATTTAAACCAATAAGAGTTGTACTGAAAATGCAGTCAAAAAGTAGCAAGTGTTTGACTTCTTCTAGGGGAAATGAGTATCACAACTAATAAATGCCATATTTGCCTCAAGTTTATAAGTAATAATACCTGTAAAATTCCTTTTTCCCAGCCTTTCCCTCATCTGTAGGTATCAGCCATCCTCCATCAGCAAGTTGTATCCCATTTCCTGCTACCAAATACTCCTTACTGAAAAATTCTTCAATGAGAAACTGAAATGATTCTGCATTTGTGCTGTTAACTTGTATGCAATGTTTTGAAACACCGTATGTGTAAAGCTGAAAAAAAAAAAAGATGAAAAGGACAAAATAATGACAAAACAGTTCGAATTCTACTAAGATCTTTTATATGTAATGCTATAAACTCCTTGATCTTGAGAGAACTTTTGTATGACCTTTTCATATGCAATCCAAGAAGAATGGAGGAACTCATACAAATTATTTAGCAGAAAAATCACACTGTACTTTAAAAAAACCACTGTACCAAAAGAGAAAGGTTTTTGATATTTACTTATCTGAGCTTGAATCTTAACCATGCGTTATCTTAAGACAGCTCTTCCTAGAGATTAGAAATTGCTAGTAACTATCATCGGTTCATTTTTTTTTTGTTTGATGTTTCTCTTGTTTGATTCCAACACTACAGAGATGTTTATGATCCTTATTATTTGGAATACCTCTTATCTGCGGATACGCAGAAATATTTTAAAACTGTAGCAACTGTGTTAAGAGTTACTTATCTCTTATAAGTACACTTATCTCAAATCTGAAGATACACATTTCACTTAAATGTATCTATTCTAAAGATGCTGAGTTTTTGTTCTCTAGTCTTAAGGGACACACTCCTACAAAGACATAGTGAAAAGGTATCATCAACACATATACCTTTTCTGTAGAATGAAAACTGGGTGTTTCTTCTTCTACTGCAGTCTTCAAGGAGATTCTGTTTTTGGCTGATGTTTTAATGATGTAAAGGCTGCCTGGCTGTGGGCTAATATTTTGCCTGTATTTCTTTTTAATTCTCATTTCCTGTAGATCTCTAGCACAGCGGAGATTTGCCATCACATTGCTTGTAGCTGCAAAGAAAAGAAATTCATCAAATTAAGAGATGCAGTCATACAAGTAGATTCAGAGAAGCGAGAGAAAGTCAGACAGCTGAAGATATGAACTCTTTCCTCTGAAAAGACTGAATCAACCACTTGCATGGCTAGGCCTGCACTTTCACTAGAAAGCAGAATGAATAAGGCTTCTATAAAAGTGAGTGAAGTATAGCAAGGTTAGTCTTCAGACTCCTTAGATTATCTTACTTAAGTATACAAAACCAAATATCAAATGAAATATAAACTATTTTAAAACTTGTTACTGAAACACGGTGTGCGAAAACAAGTTTTCCACGTTCTGCATAAACTTTGGTTAGCATTCTGATAGTTAGCATTCACAAGAAGTGACAGAAATCTGAAAATACCTAAATAGTCATTTTCTATGTCAGCGACCGCTGCAGGCAGGATGCAGGACTGGTGATCCTGAGCTTCAGCACTATTTTGTTCAACTGGGATTTGATTTAATTCCCTCTCCTCCGTCACACTGTTTGTGATTGGTGAGTGACATCTCTTGCTGCTGCCTGGTTCAGCTGTAGAAAGCGTCAGCTTGGTTTTGAATGGTGGAACAAAAGTTTTAACAGCTTTGCCTGACTTGCACAAACTTCTTGTTTCCTCACTTTCCTTGGCCATGGCCTTATGTGGAGTAAAAAGCCCTGAAGCACCACTTGAAGACTGCCGTAGGGCACAGTGCTGAAAAACGGCAGGTATAGATTTAAATCCTTTCAAGTCTTGATCAGGGAGAGTAAGAGTAGGGTTCCTGACTTCTTGTCGTTCCTTAGTAGTCCTACAGATGAAAACATGATAGAGGTTTCAGCATGTTGACAAAAATGCTTTCAGTTTCAACAGTCTTAATTTAGTAATGTAACTGTCAACACTATATTGATAAAAAGACAAAGCTTTAGTCTTTTTAATTTTCTTAAAAATTGTATGCTTAATTTGTTTCTAATAAAAAAAAATAAAAGTGTAAAATGTCTCCACATCTCATCAGTCTACTGCACCAACATGTGTTACATGGTCATTTCATACATTTATTTTGAAATAAAATTATTAATCTTTAAGAAAACTGGGTTTCAAATTACTATCATATGTTTTTTAAAGTTACAAGGACTTGCATTAGAAAAACTCTACAATACATTAAAAGTTTCTCACCCAAAAGGTTGACAAGTTACCGGTTTTAAAGGAACATGGTACATAAATTTTCTTCTGTCTTTGAAAATGCCTGGAAGGTAATTAGAAAAAAAAGTTTGAAGTAGTACATTACATGGAGGGATATTTACAGCACATTTCTTCTATATTCATGTTACAAACACAGACATTGCCAGATTGGATTTAAACAGATTTGTTATGTTTAGTAATATAAACCCCATAGAGAAAGAAAAAGCAGTTGTCTTCAATATTACTGAATCTGACAAAAAATGAGGTACAGATCTGTCTCATTATTTCTAGTGGCAGTCAGATTATATTTGTATTTACCATTTCAATGACTAGCTTCCTTTAGGATGCAAGCTGTTTGTTTTGCTAATATTTGTTTGATATAAGCAATATAATTACCCTGACAAAGCAAAGAATATTACAAGTTGTTACAGACCAGTGGAAGACCTTTAAAAGAGACCCTTAAAAAAATGAAAGTGAAGACACAACAAGTCAGGTACAGGAAGAGAAGATTTCTATGGGCTCTCAAGAAATTTGACTGTGGGTAAAAGCAAGGAAAATAACAGAATTGCCACTACTCTAGTGACAGGCCTTGTACATTCTATCATCAATGCAAAACTCATTTCCAAGGCACAAAATTTAGTAACCATATGTTGTCTAATATACCAGATAAATTAAAACGTGAGGTTAGCCCCATGAGATTGATTTTTATTTTATATTTTTCTTAAAGATTCGTCTCCCTTGAGAACAACTGACTGTGGGATATCTTGGGAAAGACAACATTCAACCACATGCCATGTTTTTTGACAAAATAATTTAAGAAGTATCTTCCCTTGTTAGCTTGTCAGGCACTCAGTGTGAGTGGATTGGTGGTCATTTGAAGAAACTGTAAATGCAGAATTAATTCCAACACATCCGGGGTCACACACAAGTTCTGTTTTATTTCAGGTTTTATTTCAGGTTCTTGGCAGTGAAAACACAGATGGAAAACCAATTACTAGCTGAGGCTCTCTCTAATTAAGCCTGTTGTTCTTCACACTGGCTGCACTCAGATCTAAAAGATAAATCACCATAGCGCTGAACTCCCAAAAGCTCCCATTTGTAAGCATGCAAGATGTTTTAGGCTCCTGAAATGGAAACGTTTAACATGTATTTGATTCCAGGAAGGCTTCCCATTCAATTTAGAACTCATTTAGCAACTTTAAAAAACATCAACAGCTACAACAAAAACAAACAGCTACATTTGCAATAGAAAAGGACACATTTGCACAGAACTTCTCTTTCAGACTTTAAGGATGTGCTTATCTCGCTATTACCAACAGATCTAAATCATGTCAGCCTGGAATTCAAATCTGTTTGTTGGATGCCCTTGGGTTTCTAGGAGGAATTTTCAGATGACAAGTCACAGCTACAAGATGCCACATGCTCCTGAAGCCAGAGGCAGGACTGTTCTGGAAATTAGAACTGCTTTCATTTGTTCCACCAGAGTAACACTGTTAAGATTCTGCTGCAGGGTAGGGTAATATTTATGTATGAAGGGTATAAAATTATTCTCTGGCAGCAACTTACAAATTCCATTAAAAATTTATTAATTTCATGCTTAGAACAAATTTAACAGCATGCAGAACCAATACATATGTTCAAAAGAGACACTTTTTAGGACTCAAACACCTAGTTACAAAATCATTTCTGCACACTGTGTGAGTCACTGCCCTTACTACAGTATCTATAAATGCTTGGTGTTTTTGTGCTGCCAAAAGGAAGCCAGCTTTGTGGGTAACTGTATACCCATCAGGTACCTAAGAAATTGTCTATGAGTAGGAATAAGGTGTTTAAGAACAATGGTGGTCCCCTGAACTACTGAAAATCACAGAATCACAGAATTGCCAGGGTTGGAAG